AACATAAAACAAAATCGTACGTGTGGGGTAAACCTTTAACTTTTCATTTTCGAGCGCGAGCTCCGCTCTTCGGCGCTTGTATACTATTAGAAATATACAACAGTAAATTTAAACTAATGTTTACTTAAAGTTAAAGGTTTACCTCATACGAACATTTTTGTTTTATGTTGATATGTTGAATAATGTACGAGTATGGCTAACATGCGCAAAATGTTAAGTAGCTTAGGATCTAAACCACGAAAATATATACTTTTTTAAATTGTAGGTAATTGTGCTGGCTAATCTACCGTAATGGAACATTTTATAAATATACATAAATATACGTCCAAAAATTAAAAAAACGGTGACGTATGAAACTAGGGTGACGTATAAAACCTTACCAAAACTGCAAAAATGAAGATAATTGAAATTTGCAAATTGCTTTTGGTTTCTGCATATTTACACTATGTGTGTACCAAATTTTAGGTGTCAGCAAAGTTTCGAGTTTCAGATGCCGATGAATGTATAACACCTTATAGAACAAAAAGTTTTGCTCTCCTGATTTTGGGGTTTAGCGTCATTATTGTATATATACTGAACTATAGTTTTCGAAAGTTTTATCACTTTATGTTTATAATTGACATTTTTACAGCAACTTTAAAAAATTGAAGTTTTATATCGTTTTTTCAATCTCACGGCTTTGTTACTACAAATTTCGTAATCGGACCACCGCCATTTTGTAGCTATTTTTATTACGAACGAAATCATGTCCTAAGCATTTTTTCGTACAAAGTCATCCCGCTGTTATTTAACTAAAACTACTAAAAAAAAATTTTTCACTATTAAATTGTTAATAACTTTTTTTCCTGATAAAATACTTTGGCAGCAAATTAGCCTGTTATTGTACTCATCATTTAAAGTAGGTCTGTGTAGTTATATCCGGGTTATCAAGGTTTGACACAGGCCGAACCTCTACCAACTATAATTATTATGAGACTTACTGCGTATATTATGGAACTCTGGTGTTAAGTATTACAAGCTATTTTTTTTCAAATATTTCGCCCTTTTTTTAGGACTAACGACCACTGTCGCTCCTATGTATATGACGGAGTTGGCCCCGCTCCATTTGAAGGGCGCTACTGGAGTTCTATGTCCTTTGGGCGTAACTGTTGGAGTATTGGTGGGCCAGATTTTGTCCATGCGTGGGATATTGGGTATGTTCTCTTCGTATTTGTGCAGGGTATCCGAAAGCGAATGAGCCTTACCTTACCTTCANAGTTTTCAAAAGCTTGACAAATAAAATATTGAAGAAGAAGTTTCATCCGTATCATATTGAAAATCAAGCACTGTTATCGTAGTTACGAAAGTTATTAGTGAAATTGGAGATTAAAAAATTTGGATGAATAGAATTTTGAAAAAAGAATACTCATAGTCGCAAGCTAACTTAAAATAAATACCCTTACAATATTTTTCCCGACAAAGGAACGGGCGCAAATCCGGAATTTTACATAAAAATGTTTTTTTTTGCAAAAACTACACAACTTAGGTATAGGGAAAGCTATTAAAAAATTGAAGGATCTAAAGAAAGGCATCTAATGAAACCATAAAACATAGGGTGTTCTATTTGAAAAAGTCGAGATTTTTCAAATTTTAAATTATCAGGTTTGGCACGATTTTCTTTGCCCCCTGTATATCGCAGGTCAATTTTTGATACGTTTTTTGAAAGAGCCATCTTCACCCTACAGTTCCTGAAAAAAAAAAAATTCTAGCTGTCATACAATCATAATTATGTCAACTACTAGAAGTGACAAACAAGAAAAAAATGAAAAGTCGATTATCTCGAAAACTATCAATATTTTAATAGGGATCATAACACAAAATCCCGTTAATTTTTCGCGTATAATGCCATAAAAAATATAGGTTTCCATTTAAAAAAATTAAGTTGTTACCTGCCCAGGAAAAACTGAACACCGTGATATGTAAATATATTTTCATTTTGTGCAGCTCGGGAAAGTAGGCAACTCTGTAGAAAAAAAAAATTAAGTTATATCTTTTATTAACCTAGATATTGGACTTACGCGCACTAGGTGGACACGGTGTATAGTGCGTAGGTGAATCTTCCTTGGGGTGGCTAATTTTACGTCATTGCTACGTTACGTTCTTGCCACGTGTGCCGCGTTTTTTACATATTCATAATTTTTAAAGCATTTCTAACATACATTTTTGTTAAAGAACTTCACATTCCACGGCGCGCGGCGCCACTAACCGACATACCCCCTTTCGTACCCGTATTCCTTGAAAAACTTCTTTATCTGTTAAATTTACCCTTTCGACTATCCTGATTAGCCAATAATAGTTGCACATAATTCCATTTAAAAAAACACTGAAATAACTAAAATCTGAAAATATTAACATTTTTCACATTTGCACGTATATGACACGAAACGAAACACTTAAGTCGGAAACTAACAAATTGAGAAATAGAAATGGCCATTTGTAACAAAACAACGCGCACAGTCTGAACATGTTATCTATACACTAGGCGAAATAAATGCCACATTAGGATCTCCATGCTGAGAAGAAACGAAATTATTTTATCACAATTGTAAAATTTTCGGTTTTATATAATGTTGGTTTTATAATAGTTCAGTCGGCAGAAGCCGAAAAGTTACTGTTGGTGACATTTCCTTGATAACTCGGAAATAACTACACAGGAATACTTTAAATGATGAGTACAATAACAGGCTAATTTGCCGACAAAGTATTTTATCAGGAAAAAAAGTTATTAACAATTTAATCGTGAAAACATTTTTTTTTAGTAGGTTTCTTTAAATAACTTTGTACGAAATAATGTTTAGGACATGATTTTGTTCGTAATAAAGATAGCTACAAAATGGCGGTGGTCCGATTATGAAATTTGCAATAACAAAGCCGTGAGATTGAAAAAAACGGTATAAAACTTCAATTTTTTAAAGTAGCTGTAAAACTGTCAATGATAAACAAAAAGTGATAAAACTTTCGAAAACTATAGTTCAATATATATACAATAATGACGCTAAAGTCGAAAATCAGGAGAGCAAAACTATTTGTTCTATAAGGTTTTATACATCCATCGGCATCTGAAACTCGAAACTTAATTAACTAAATTTGTTGGCAGTTTTGCTGACACTTGAAATTTAGTATACACATAGTGTAAATATGCAGAAACCAAAATCAATTTGCAAAATTCAATTATCTTCATTTTTGCAGCTTTGGTAAGCTTTTATACGTCACCCTAGTTTTATACGTCACCGTTTTTTTAATTTTTGGACGTATATTTATGTATATTTATAAAATATTCCATTACGGTAGATTAGCCAGCATAATTACCTACAATTTAAAAAAATATATATTTTCATCGTTTAGATCCTAAGCTACTTAACATTTTGCGCCTGTTAGCCGTAGTCGTACATTATTCAACATATTAACATAAAACAAAATCGTACGTGTGGGGTAAACCTTTAACTTTTCATTTTCGAGCGCGAGCTCCGCTCTTCGGCGCTTGTATACTATTAGAAATATGCAACAGTAAATTTAAACAATTGTTTACTTAAAGTTAAAGGTTTACCCCACACGTACGATTTTGTTTTATGTTAATATGTTGAATAATGTACGACTACGGCTAACAGGCGCAAAATGTTAAGTAGCTTAGGATCTAAACGATGAAAATATATATTTTTTTAAATTGTAGGTAATTATGCTGGCTAATCTACCGTAATGGAATATTTTATAAATATACATAAATATACGTCCAAAAATTAAAAAAACGGTGACGTATAAAACTAGGGTGACGTATAAAACCTTACCAAAACTGCAAAAATGAAGATACTTGAATTTTGCAAATTGCTTTTGGTTTCTGCATATTTACACTATGTGTGTACCAAATTTCAAGTGTCAGCAAAGCTTCGAACAAATTTGGCAAAGTTTCGAGTTTCAGATGCCGATGAATGTATAACACCTTATAGAACAAAAAGTTTTGCTCTCCTGATTTTCGGCTTTAGCGTCATTATTGTATATATATTGAACTATAGTTTTCGAAAGTTTTATCACTTTTTGTTTATAATTGACATTTTTACAGCAACTTAAAAAAATTGGCGTTTTATACCGTTTTTTCAATCTCACGGCTTTGTTATTGCAAATTTCGTAATCGGACCACCGCCATTTTGTAGCTATTTTTATTACGAACGAAATCATGTCCTAAGCATTTTTTCGTACAAAGTCATCCCGCTGTTATTTAACTAAAACTACTAAAAAAAAATTTTTCACTATTAAATTGTTAATAACTTTTTTTCCTGATAAAATACTTTGGCAGCAAATTAGCCTGTTATTGTACTCATCATTTAAAGTAGGTCTGTGTAGTTATATCCGGGTTATCAAGGTTTGACACAGGCCGAACCTCTACCAACTATAATTATTATGAGACTTACTGCGTATATTATGGAACTCTGGTGTTAAGTATTACAAGCTATTTTTTTTCAAATATTTCGCCCTTTTTTTAGGACTAACGACCACTGTCGCTCCTATGTATATGACGGAGTTGGCCCCGCTCCATTTGAAGGGCGCTACTGGAGTTCTATGTCCTTTGGGCGTAACTGTTGGAGTATTGGTGGGCCAGATTTTGTCCATGCGTGGGATATTGGGTATGTTCTCTTCGTATTTGTGCAGGGTATCCGAAAGCGAATGAGCCTTACCTTACCTTCAGCCAAGGGCGTGACTCTTGAAGGGTTACGTCCTTGAGTGAAAATAAACCAATTTAGATTAAGTCAGACCTGTTACGATTTTGTTTCCTTAAAAGGAGAAAAATGAAATAATAAAATATATTTTTTAAAGGCCAATAACTTTTTAAAGAAGTAAGACTTTACTAAGGAAACTTGATACAAGTCGGTTTATTTTTACCCAAGGAAGTTACTTTTGAAGTGTGGCCTATTCGTATACAGGAAATAGTGCTAGAACAAAATTTTACAAAAAAAAAACAGATTTAACCTTCCCTAAAAAATTACAACCTCTATTTTAAACTATTCTATCTCTATCCATTATCAGAAAATTAAAAAAAAACATGTTTTCCACACCTTCCTAAAAGGACTGTATCCTTTTAGGGGCAGGTTCTATGGAAAACTTTTCGATCGATCATTCATAAAATCAAATATTTTTTCAACTACTTATAGGACTCCCTGTATATTTCGCTTTGTGAAATATTTTTTTATGAACATTTTTAGGTAACGAAAATTATTTTCCTCATTGCTTGGCGTTCTACGCTTTGCCCGTATTTTTCTACGTCGCTTCGCATCGTTGGTTGCCGGAAAGTCCAAAATACATTTTTGTGATTAAGAAACAGCCACAAGTTGCCTTAAGACGTAAGTACATAGACATCAACTGAAAATATATACGTTACGATTGAATGATTTTTAGTGTTGAAAAAGCTGAGAAACGTGAGCGAGGATCGTCTCCAAGACGAAATCGAAGAGCTGAAGATAGAGGAGGAAGATAACAAAAAATGTGCTGGCGAATCTTGGAATATAGGAAAAGTTATAACGGACCGCTCGCTACTACTACCTCTCTTATTGGTCTGCTGCTTACAGGCGGGCCAGCAATTTAGCGGGATCAACGCTGTTAGTATTTCAAAATAATTATAGTATCATTACAAGTGGGGTTTTCCTCTTGGTACACATGGTGCCTAGTCTCACTGTCACACAATGTTCCGTGATCAAACACAAAAAATTTTAATGAACAAGGAGTCGATTCCGGGTCCTTAGATATAGCAACTTGAAAATTACCCGTTGACATTACCATAGGTACTACGGTATGTTGCGTTTTTGGCTATTAATGACTTATATTTGTACATAATTACAAAAAAGTAGGTGTCGTAGTAGCAAATGAGTCATTACTATCCAGAAATGTGTACCGCCAATATCCTTGGCAGGAAAAATGACCTCGGATGGAGCGGGGTCGAGCGGGATTATCGCTCTTTACCCACTTCATCGCTGTAGGCCCGGACGCCTCGTAGAGGTAGGCCCTTTCCCCGTCATTCCGGACCGCCAACGCGGCCGGATTGGATCGGTTCGTGGGGCCTCCTCCTGTCCTGGCTGGGCCCCGCCGGCTAGGGCCCTTTCTTCTGGCGCTCTTCTTTCTTCGCCGGCTCGTCTGTGTATACCCCCGGGGGTGTCGTGTATCGGTCGCAAACGACGACAGTCGTTTGCGACCGGGGTGGTGGTTTTGGGTGAGGTCGTGCAGCTATGCAGCTTAGGAAGCGCTTTGCTAAGGTGGCCCTTAGGCTAGCGCGGGAGGGGAGAGTGGGATAAGGTGAACTAACACGCGCGCCAATATCCTTGGCAGGAAAAATGACCTCGGATGGAGCGGGGTCGAGCGGGATTATCGCTCTTTACCCACTTCATCGCTGTAGGCCCGGACGCCTCGTAGAGGTAGGCCCTTTCCCCGTCATTCCGGACCGCCAGCGCGGCCGGATTAGACGGTTCGTGGGGCCTCCTCCTGTCCTGGCTGGGCCCCGCCGGCTAGGGCCCTAAGAAATGTGTACCAAATTTGGTACCGATATTTCAAGTGATTTAGAAGACATTAAAAAAAATGTTAATCGTTCCTTTTCAAGCTGTTTATATCTTCTGAAAAGACTCGGTATTGATGCATGGTTCATTGGAAATTTTTATGTTTTTGACTAAGGAACATTAACAGTATCTGTCCATACATTAAAGTAGACATTTTCCATGGCGTATTCTCTTAATAACTATGAATTCTTGCTTTCAACAATTCTTTTCAGGTATTCTACTATTCTTCCAAAATCTTCCACGCCGCAGGTTTGTCTGTATCCGCCAGTGAACTGGCCACCATTGGAGCCGGTTGCTGCAACTTTGGCATGGCTGTGCTTTCAATTTTCATCATGAACACTTTCGATAGGAGAACTTGCATATTACTGAGTCTGGCTTCTTCTATGTTCTTCTTGGTAGTTTTGGGAGTCGCTATTCTGTTCATCGTAAGTACTTAATATACATACAATGTTCCAGAAACTAACCGATTTTTTTCAGGAATCTTACACTTGGGTACCTTACATTAGCATCATCGGGGTGTTGGGCTTCGTGATTTGCTACGGTTTGGGTATTGGTCCCATTCCGTATTTCATAGGATCGGAGTTGTTCGAGGTGGGGCCTCGACCCAGCGCCATGGCCTTGGGCAGCATGTCCAACTGGGCGGGCAACTTCCTCGTAGGCCTGCTCTTCCCTACCATGCAGGATTACATTGGGCCATCTTCTTTCTTCATATTCGCGGTCTTCTTAGTTGCCCTATTTATTTTCGTCAGGTAAGTTCTACCGGGGATACTACAGATCAACAGGAATAAGTTTGCGGGTGAGATATATGCGTAACTGACTGACTAGTTAGTCAAAGACCAAAAAAGACACTGTTCGGATTACGTTTGCTCCTTTTAGATATAAATTCCATAACATTAAACTATTTATAATTTCTCAATTTGAAGAGAACTGACGGCACACAAAATAAATGTATAGTCTTTCCGATATCATTTGAAGAACCAATAGGAAGACAGTATCTACCAGGTTCGGTCGCTGACGCAGCAACTCGGCATTGAAATATTTGAAAATCTTGTTCCCATATTTATTTAGCCATACCCGTATACAAGTCTGGTCGAACTAAACGTGAAGGTGGTAGAAATGTATACGCCCAGTTGCAGAATGCGAGCGCGGGCAAACGAAATACAAACACAGCTGCATTGGTCCACTGGACAATAAATCTCAGCTGTTGACAAGTGGTTGACAAATTGTCGAGCAGTGCAGTGCAGCAATGCGGAATTTGGTGCGATTCAGATAATTTTAATTTGCAATCTAGCCGCGATGTTTCCGATGTGGGCGGGGCCAACTCGCCCGCAAACTTATTCCTGTTAACCAGAACATGACATAAATAAAACAAACTTTTTATATATTTTTCTAGGAAATATCTTCCTGAAACTAGAGGGAGAGATGCTAGTATAATAGCAGAAATCTGCAGCGATGGTTTTGCATCAAGACCGTTGGATGTCAGGATAAATGTGGCTCACCGTGCTAGGGTAGAAAATAATTGCGACGAAAAACTTGAGGTGTGACCAATGTGTATTATGAATATACGAGTAATGCATAAAAATGTTATTCACAGCAACAAAAACAAGTGTACTTACATTTCTGGGCTTCCAATTAATTGACAAATATTTGCGTTTGTAGTACTGAATTATTTTTAATTCTATTATGTATATAAGAATTTAAGTTACCTCTAGTGAATTTTAATATTGAAGCATAGGACCCATACCGTTTTTTAGGGAATGATTTTTATCCTGTCAAAGACAGGGCCGAATTAAGGGGGTGGGGCAAGATTTGGCAAAATGAATTTTAGTTTTTTTTTTAGAATCAAACCAAAAAGAGTAGGTTTTGAAATTTTATATCGACAAGTTCCTGATTGCGTGACCTTTTTGTTTCGAATCAAACAAATAGGTTTTGAAATTTAATATTTTTTTCTCAGAAAGAGGACCTGGGTAGAACGTGTAGCTCCGGACCTCACCATAGGTTAAAACGGCCCTGGTCAAAGAGAACTTTCAAGGTGAAAAAATTTAGAACGAAATTTGTGAAATAAAAAATTAAAATAGGAATTGCCTATTCTAAGATCTCGAAAAGGGTCGTACATTTGTGAATATTTTTCATCATAGTCAACTCTTTTTTCATTTTTAACAATTTTTTTATAGTTTAAATGATAGATTCTATTTCTTAATCTTCATAATGCTGTGGCGTTATGAAAAATGGAAAATTTTGGAAAAAATACAAAAACAACTGTTCGTATCTATTACTTTAATACAAAAAAAATATTTTTCGAACATATGTGCAACCCTTTTAGTCCAACTAAATTTAACTTGGCGAAAAAAAAATTGGTACCTTGACTTTTATGAGTGGAAATGGTAAAAGGACTTATAATAAACCTAAAAAAAATAAATGCGTGGAAGATTGATTTGGTGGGTTGAAAATTTGTGAAAAATTGTATCATTGGGATTTCTGGCGAAAGTTGACGCCAAAGAAAAAGGTATCCAATACAAAAGTGATCATGTTAAAAACTACAACTTTTGTAGAGGTCACTTTTTAAGATTCAAAATTTCCGAAAAAATGCGAAAATCAGTTTTTTCTGATTTTTCGTTTTTTCTCATTTCCGTAAAAATAATTTAATTATAAGGAAACTTGGTGAAAGTATACCTTCCTCTGTCTTAAATAACCACAAATTTTTTTAGATAAAAAAATCAAGAAGTTTCTGATATTCATTTTTTCCGGTCTGAAACACTTTTTTTCAAAGAAAAATTCTACTTAGAAAATCTCGTACAGGGTTCTGCCGGTAATCATTTTCTTCGTTCAAAAACATGCTCAAAAATGCAAAATAAATAGAAAATGATTTGAAACAATGAATTTTTCAGTAATTGTTGATAATTTGTTTAAATTAAAAAACATATAAAAACTGCTGACACCATTCAGTTCTACGGAAAAAAAAAAAAATAAAATGTCTCACTGTTTGACACAAAAATTTATTTTTGTACAGTATTGCTATAAACATCTAAGTCGAATTACAAATGCACAAATGATAAATTATCTCTGGATGATTTGAGATTTCAGTAATACAAAGTATTAACTGCAAAGTCTACGGTTGACGCGAAATCCGAAAACCAAAAATTTTGCAAAATCGTTTCATTTTTTTCTGACCGACTTGATTTTTTTTCTGAAAACGAATTTTAAAATAAATTGCATATTTACATTGCCACTTTTTTCGCTTTACCCAATGGTGTCAATATTTGTGCAATCCGACGTTTCGTCTTCGAGGGGCCATCATCAGATTAATTTTTTTAAATATGTCGCTGCTATTTTTATGATAAAATCTAAGGTCATTTTTAATTCTAAATTAGATGATATTACTATTGTAATTTTCTTTTAATCAATAATTTAAAAAGTTATACCTAACCAGGGAAAATTTTAAATGATAGCTAAAACAAGCTAAAAACTTTTTAAGCGATTACAATAGTAATTCAGAATTAAAAATGACTAGATTTTGTCATAAAAATGGCAACGACGTATTTAAAAAAATTAACCCGATGATGGCCCCTCGAAGACGAAACGCCTGATTGTAAAAATGTTGACGCCATTGTATAGAGGGGAAAAAATGGCATTGCAAATATGGAATTAAACAATTTTGCAAAATTCCGTTTTTTTCCGGATATCTCCGGAACTACCCGGAATTTTAAAGCTTTCTAAACGGCGTGTTGTTAGGTATAAAAAACACAACTTTTTTCTAATCTGAGCCACTCTCTTACCGTTTCCTAGATCCTAATACTATCCTATCCTTATCTTGGATACACTGTATATCTATCAATTCATCAAAATTAAAAAAATATAAGTACACTAATCGATCCTACGAAAAAAAAAAATGTTTATTTTCTTTATCCACTATTTGACTTATGTTTATAGCAATACGGTATTGCTATAAACATAAGTAGGTATTGCCAATACCTACTGTACAAAAGTTTTGGATCAAACAATGAGACAGTTTTTTTTGTATTTTTTCCGTACAATTGAATGGTGTACTTAATCAGTTTTTGTTTTTTTTTAATTTAAACAAATTATCAACAATTACTGAAAAAATCACTGTTACAAGTCATTTTTTAATTTGTTTGCATTTTTGAGCATGTTTTTGAACTGTGATTACAGATTTTTTATATTTCACCAAAAAGTATATGTCAAAACGAAACAAATGATCACCGGCAGAACTCGATGATTTTTCTAAGTAGAATTTTTGTTTGAAGAAAATGTGTTTCAGACCGGAAAAAATGAATATATCGGAAACTTCTTGATTTTTTTATCTAATAGAATTTGTGGTTATTTAAGACACAGAAAGGTATTTCACCAAGTTTCGTCAAAATTAAATTATTTTTGCGGAAATGAGAAATAATAAACGAAAAATCAGAAAAAAACATGTTTTTCGCATTTTTCTCGATTATCATAAAAAGTAACCTCTATAAAAGTTGTAGATTTTTGCATGATCTACAACTTTTGTATTGAATACATTTTTGTTTGACGTCAACTTTCGCCAGAAATCCCAATGATACAATTTTTCACCACTTTTGAACCCCCCAAATCCCCTTTACTATTTCCATTTATAAAAGTTCAGGTAACATTTTTTTTTTCCTCTGAATAAGTTATTTCTATCGGTCTATTTTGGAGATCCCAGGGTCGCAACCCTTAATTAATTTTTTATTTCGAAACTTTTTTATTTTTCATTCCTCATTTTTCATTTTTATTGATAGGCGATATAGGCAAAAGAAACTTTTTTATTAGATATGGATTTGATTTTAGTGATAATGAATTAAAAATGGGTTGGAAAAAAAGGCTTTAAAAATAGGAAAAGTGATTAAATTTAAACTGAAAAGTGCATGAGTTAACCAAACAAAAAACCTAATTTCTACTCACTTTGGTTAAGGTAACGAGTTTTTATTTATTTAAATATACTAACACTTTTATATTTAGACGACTAAAATGATACACATTCATTTCAGTAGGTTGACGCACTATATCGCGATTTGTACTCCTTATCTTAATTATCAGTTTCCTCCTTCCCCGACCTTATTTATCTGCTTATTTATTTAGGCCAGTAAAACATTTAGTAACGGATAAATCATTGTATTAAATCGAATATCTTTTTTCTTTGTATGTTAGATATCTATTTCTAGCTGTATTATTGAAATAAAATGAAGACTATTGAGAAATTCAAGGTTCCTAGGATTCTGTTTCATAATAACTTTATATTATTGGAATAATTTTGTTGCTCAATCTCGAAATAAAGACAATTCAGTTTTATTTTAGAGTGTTTGTTAGTGATTTTTAAATAAAACTCGTTTTATAAATTATATATGGAATTTTTTTAATTCATTGTTTTGTTTCCGTTTGCCAGTGTTCAGATGAGTTGTTTGAGAAAGGAATACCCCACGTTTTGTCTCGAAAACACAACCCAAACAAAATATTTGTATTCTCGTTTATCATTCGAATTTTTATATCTAGACAAAATAAATAAATTTTGATATATTTTATAACTTATTTGTCTATGACCAACTGCATACATGACTGTATCCAACTAATTATATTCAAAACAACGAACTTTCCGATATCGATAGCAGCCGTTTAATTTTCTTGAAACTACCCTCTTCCAACCATCCGCTCTTCGCCACTTGAGTTATTGTCGCCCGTTTTAACATATCCGGTTCCAAAAGGGAGCTAAAATGCAAAAAATTAAAATTTAAAATAAGAATCTAGTGTATGCAACTTGTTGCACAGCTTTGCTGGTTGCATATCGACACAGTAATGGAAATCTTTATCAGAAAAATCACGTACTTGATGAGTTTCTTCAAATCTATGGAGTGATCAGACCATAAAAGAGTGACGGCAAATATGGAACGGCTCATTTGATCCTTGACCATCCTTTTGATATTGGAATCGTCGAAAGGCATCGAAGCGCTCATCATCACGTACAGGATACATCCCAGCGCCCAAATGTCGTACATTTTGGGATCGTAGAACACGCCCTTCAACAAAATATTAAATTCGACGAAGTGAAGTACTTACGTAAAGTACCTGTAGTATTTCGGGAGCGGCGTATGCGGCCGAGCCGCAAAAAGTGTTCGACAATATTTTATTGCCGAATTCATTCTTGCAGAACCTCGCGAAGCCAAAATCTCCCAGCTTGACTTGATCAGTCGCCGTGAGAAAGACATTTTCACATTTCAGATCACGATGAGAAATGTCTAAGTTGTGTAGGTAATGCACCGCACTTACAATTTGCCTGAAATATACTGAAATTGGTAATCCTTTCAAACAAATATACGCATTTGTCTCTGAAATTCTTACTAATTATTACCTGAATATAGTTCTGGCTTTATCTTCGGAAAAAGATCCATGTTGCCTTATATACTCTAGAAGATCACCATTTTTACAATAATCCATGAACATATAGATGACATCGTTGATTTCCAAAATCTTGTACACTGTTACTATATTCGGGTGCTTGATTGCGGTTATTATCCTACAAAAGTTTTGTTCCTTGATGATTGAAGAAATAAAAATATTTGAGCCATACCTTAACTCCCTAGGCAAAAATTTCTGTATGAAATCTTCTCCCGCGTAGCGCTTATTTATAATTTTACACGCCAATTTTTGACCCAGGCTATTGATGGCGATGCAAACTTTACTGTAGGTGCCTTTTCCGATGGATTTCCCGATTCGGTAGCCAATGGTATGGAAGAGTTTCTGGGTGCTGCGCTAAAACAGGAAATAAATTGCTAAAAATCAAATTTCATCCAATGGGGACATTAAATCAAATTTTTTTATTTAATAATGTCGTTTGATTCACCTCAAAATACTTTGCCAGTTATATCCAGGCCACTTTAAAATTAGATTTTATAATATTAGATTAAATATTGGATCGGAATTATATCAAATTAATTTATAATGAATTTCAATAAAAATATTTTCACGTTTTAAATATCAAAACTCCAGAAAGGGATACTACTAAGAATATGCCACGTAAGTACATATATCTACAATAACAATTTTCTTACCTCTATAGAGAATGCACACCTTTTTTGACGCTTTGACATAATGAAATGATAATGAGGGAATATACGCGACAAAAATATTACATAAATCAAAATCAGACGTGAATTTTAGTTTGACATATTGGAAAGTGTCCAATTCTTTGACAATCAGTTTCTACAGAGTGCCCTTATTTTATAGTAAAAAGTCTACACAATTGAAATAAAAAAACTACAAGAAATACGTATTTGGACTAGCTGAAAATGCCTGTCGGTGTTCTAGCTTCGTTGGAAATCGCAAAAAACAATAAAAAATTAACTTTTGCTGCATAGTTATGCAACTTTAATAATTGATAGTACTTATAGAACTAAATGTGCATTGAGGCAAAAAGCAAAGAAGTCAAAAACGCCGCATTCTTAATAAAAACATTCGATTACAGATCGCCTCTAAACAAGCCGTTTTTGAATAAAACGTATAGGAAACAAAATATTGAGGAAAAGAACATATCTCTTTGCTTTCAAACATTATTAAAAAAATATATCAGAAAGTAATTAGTCAATATCTTCTAGAACAATTAATTTAACCGGAAATTGGTATAGTGATCAGAAAAATTTTCAAAATATAAATGAGCAAAATTTATAGATATTTGATATTTATAATATTCATAAAATATATTTGTATTCACTGAAAACGCTTGTCGTGTTAGTTTTTCGGAAATTCAGTAAAAATTTATAAAGTAGAATTTCATAACCAACTAAAAATCGGCTAACAACGCAAGGGCGCCGCCACGGGGCGCAGGGGAGCAGCTGCCCCTTCCTAGAAATTCGAAAAAAGTATAAAAATCTTTCTTAAGCTAAGAAATTATTAGATTGGAAATATTTAATAAAATATTTTATTTACTTTTTTGAAAATTAACACACTACTTAATTTTTCTAAGAAACAGTTGTAATAAATTAGTATAAATATTTGTTTACAAAAGTAATATATTTTCATATTTCCACGTTTTAAAAGTTTAGCTCTGGAATTTTAAATTAAAAAAAAAGAAGAATAATACCCTGGCTGAGAAATACTATGGTACAAAATCATCTCAATGGCTTACTAATGATGAGTATACACAGAAAGCTTATTTTTGACAACCATGAAGATTTTATTAATAATGGGTAAACAAATTTTCAAAAAATTCGAGAAAATTATGTTTTACATAATTTCCGTTGAATGTCTTTATTTTTTTAGTTGTTTATATTTCTTTTGTTTTTTTTTTGTGTTAAAAATGTTTTATTAATAATATTTCTAAAAAAAATAATTCACTGTACCTACCTATTTGTACCTATAATTTATATTTCTCCCATCCTCTCTCTTATCTTGAACCCCCCGCCCCCCTAGCCCATTGGCTGGCGACGCCCTTGCAACAACGTACTTGAGTTCGGGGATATGAACTCGTAACAGAACCGGACTTTCAAATGTAAATATGAATAATTATGTTCACGTTCACAGAGAAAATGTCACGTCACAATAATATCATTTATGATAATATTGAACATACAGATATACCTACAAATGAGGTAACTGATAAAAAATTGTTCAAATATACACGCAAAAAAATGAGTTAATTTTATTATCAGCTCAATTCATAGACATTAGACATTTTATTTATATGTACAAGCAAAAAAAAATATTTGCCTCGGTAAAAAGTCTTTTTGTGTAATACATACAAAAATTTCGTTAGGAAACGTTGTTTAGAATTTAGAAGTTATTTCCATTTGGGAGCAATCGGGCTACACATTTTTTCAATTTCTTCATTCGGGAAACATTTTATTAGAAATTAAAATGTATGTTAATGTCTCAAATCTATAGGCAATTAATTGGTTTTGATCTGGCCATTAAATTATCTATCAAAATAATATGAAACAAGCGGATTATGTTCAAATTTGGTATAAATATACATAAATTTTAGTTGTGAATCTCAATGACATTTTTTTTTGTCTTTTTAAAAAAGGCAGTTTATCTTCACATCCTGACAAGGCCAATAAAATTTTTCACCAATGTAGTTTTTAATCATACAGGTTTGCTTTCCAAATTTTTAAATTAAAAATTAATTTGTCGTAGTCATTATTAGGGTTAAGACGATCTGGAGACATCTTGTAGCTAATATGTTGAAGGTGGATTGGTTATTTCTGTGTTTTCTACTGGCATAGTATATTTATTGATCAGTGTCGGACTGATTATGTCTAAGACCTCATGAATTTCCTGAGTGCCCCTTTTTACTGAAGAGAAATGAAAAGCAAGAACAATATATTTTACTACAAAAACCGAATGAACGGAAATTTGGTAATATTAGAAAATATTCAAGATTTCGTTGTGAGGCAGCCTCAGAGCTAACGACTAACTATGTAAGTTCTTTTCATGCACCAATGCTTCCTTAGGCTAAATCCTATATGAAGTATATAAATGAAAAAATGTAGGGTTTCTCAAAATAATACATATAAAAAAGTACTTTATTGACAGACATAAAAACAACTAATACATTTTTAATCGTTTCTTTGGATACTCTGTATATGTTGGCTGACCTAAAATTACATTTTTGAACATTTGAACTCCCAGCGAACACGACATATAAATGGGCCGTTAAAGTCATTGATGGCTGTTTATATCACCGTTTTTGTACTATTAACAAGAATAAAAATTCGTAAAATGATAATGAGAAAAGTTATCCCTAAAAGTTTTTCAGCTCTGTCTTTGGACGATTTCATGTTCGTCGACTACAGAACACCGCTATGAACAACGTCTAGTAAACAAACAACTGAAATGAAAACTGGAGGACTGAACTGAGTACGACTCTTTTACGATCTACGTGCCCAATCTCTAATAATAATTACTTACTTTTTGGGAAACCTAATTTTGTTAAATCAAACGGAGGTAACTCGAATCTGACCTCGGATTGCCCCTACGTAAAAAAGCAGCGTGAACCGCAGAACAAGCTGCATAAACTATAAAAATAGAAAAAGTTTGAGAACCTGAAGACTTGGAGAGAAACAAGCTTTAATCTTGAATTTGCATGAGTCGAAATAGTCTATTGGAATTATCATTTAAGATTTTTTCAAGACAAATACTGTTTTTTACAAAAAAGCGAATTAATAGTGCTAGGTAATACATACATTTCTCTCAGTAGGTATGTACATATACCATTCAGTGAAAAGACATAAAGATATCGTTGACGGAAAACTGAAAAATTTGAAAGAATGACAATTATTGTGTTATATTTCTGAATATTACAGATATGTGGGTCAAAGGAGAATTACAATTGCGAATATTACTAAAATCAATAATCACTGATGCATTACTGTTGCCCTTTCATGGCAAATCAACATTCCACAACTGAAACGACAACGATTTAGATTTTTCTTAAGACAAAAAACAATCCCGTTTTTGTTCCAAGTGATCATGACCTGCTTTTTTTGTTATGTAAATTTGGCCGAAGACAACAACGAATACGATACCCCAGTTCGATAGCGAAAATGGACACATTCGTCAGTCACTGAATGTATAAAACCGGAACATCTATGACTATCGTCCATGGTCCAACCACGTGTGACGACTGATGGTCAGCTGGAAATCGAAAATTCCTCCAAACGGATCGCGGCGTTGCCGTACGCGCCTAGAAAGTATTCCCTTATTCCCTATAAATATTTTTTTGATTATTTTTTTTTTAGTTGATGCAACTTAATTTAATTGGGAGAATTTATCAATGAATTCGGTGGTTTTAATGTTAGTTCGAAAAACTTAATTTATTAAAATGAGGATCATTATTTTTTATTTCAAAATGAGGTCAGTTATACAATGTGATTCAGAACTTATCCAAAAAAAATTCTGGATCTACAAGGGACTTACAAATAAAATTTTTGTAAAGAAAAAATTAAAAAGGGCAGTTCGAATATTATTTAAAAATACACTTCTGCACGGCACTGGAAACTGGTCCACTGTAAAACCTGACCTCGCGTAATACGACTGGCACGGCGGCAAAGTGTGATAAAAACGAACAAAAACTTGAAAGAATTTCGCAAGGAAAGAAATAAATAAAATTTTATAGCACCTATTCTATATCAGCAAATTCAACTGCTTTTGCCGCTATTGTTATTATTAATTAATAAAATTTATTTGTGGTTTTCAATAATAAAATAATTTGCCATACCTGATGTTACAACAACTATTCAAAATTTTGTCCACCGACGTGTGAACACATTTGGGTCCATCTTACTCAGTTTTTACGAACTAACACAAATGCTGTCTTGCTTCACCATATATTAAAATGATATTTCATAAACTTCGAGTTGCTATACCTACACGCAAGCCATTTTTGACACTGATTACTAAAAAACTATTATAAACACTATCGCAACGACGATTGTAAAATCAGATTTCAGTATTCGGAGTTGCTGAGGCCACTTGATTGTACACGCGTATTGCGAATGACGGTTGAGCCTACAGTTGTCCAGCGATGTAATGCTTGAAAGTGCTAAACTTCAATAATTTTTTTCTCGGAAACTACAAGGATTTTACAATTTTTTTTTACGATATTGACTTCGTTTTTCATGCCGCATCTTTTCCCAAATTTTTTTAGATAAGTAATGAATCACCCTGTATTTGGGATATTCCACATCAACCGGACACAAAATTTATTACATCCAAAAAAGGCCAAATGGATATCAAAATTTTCGTTGAAATCTCTATTTTCGAATGCCACTCGCTGTTTTTGAAAAAAAAAACAAAATGGCGGCTCAATATGTGGCTACAAGCTGAAATAACATGGCCAAATTAAAAAAAATACTTATGTTACTATTTGAGTTTAAAAAACTTATGAAAAAAAATAAAAACGCTAAATGAAGTAAGTGTTAAGGGTACCAATGATTATTTGTTTAAATACGTAACATGGCGGATCCAATACATGAGGCTTTTTTTCGCGAGTGAAGTCGTATGTTGTAGTATGTGTAGTATGAGTGAATATTACGTTTTTGCGAGAATAGTCAGTCATTTAAACTACTATGTGACGTCACCAGTTTAGATCAAATGACTGAACTTTTCACCTTTCAGCTGAATATTCTGTTAGTATATTCAACTAGTATTGTCAGCCGGTAACTTAACCTTTTTCTTTTTGACATTTTGTTTGAATGAGGATAAAAATCGTTCAGCAAAATGATGGATTCTGATACGGCTGTAGAAGTGGTCAGTTTAAATTTAAACTTTAGAGGCATAGATGTTTTAGTAAACGTAGACGTTGAAACAGCAAATATTTTACTTAATGGTCGTAAGATTAATTTTTTATATGGGACATATTTGCGATCCACTTTGCTTCAGGAATCAGGATTATCCTCTTTTTTTTTTTGTGATCTAGGCCAGAGATAATGGTGGAATCATTTGTAATTCAGGTCTTTTTCGTATGAATTACATAAAAAACCGACCTAACCTCTTTATAGTTTAAATTTTTTATATAAAAAATTTAAAAACATATATGGGGAGCCTTGAAGCCGTATGTCAAAGTCGTCAAAGTACATATGACAGGCTGCACCACTGAATAGTGAATATATACATTTTCGCGATCTGTTCAGGTTAGACAAGGTTAGAAATAAGATTAAAAAGAGATAGAAACAGTAACTACAAGTCAGACGTATTCACCAATATTCACTCGCGAAAAAAAGCCTATGGTTTATGAAATAGAAAATATCTCATAAAATGCCAAAACTGGCCAATTATGCCATGTCGGTAGTAAGTTATCACTCTTCATTACTGAATTACATTTGCTGATGCATAGGATGATAAAACTTAATGAAAAGGAGCCCGTACAAACCTTATGGGAAATGGCTCCCGGTTAAATTGGCTAAATTATTTATATTTGTTACGTATCTCGGCGTCCTGAGCAAATGTCTTCAAAAACTCAACGGGTTCCGAGATAAATCCCCTATAAACCACGCCTGCCAAACCACAACCAGGTTAACCCACATAACCCCGGGAACAGCGAGTTTAGTCGTTTATTTTTTTTTAAATAATTAAACCACACCACAAGCATGCTAACCCGACTACTCCCTATCCCACCTAACACCAAAAAACCACTCCTGCCAAACCACAAGCAGGCTAACCCATGTAGCCCTGGGAACAGCGAGTTTAGTCGCTTATTTTTCTTGAAATAATTAAATTCCATACCACTACTTGTGGGTAGGCGGGTTAGAACGCTTGTGGTAGGCAATTTAATTATTTCAAGAAAAATAAGCAATTAAACTCGCTGTGCCCAGGGTCAGGTGGATTAGGCTGCTTGTGGTTTGGTAGGGGTGGTTTCTAGGGGCTAGATGGGTTAGAGGTTAGACGGTTAGCATGCTTGTGGTATGGAATTTAATTATTTCAAGAAAAATAAGCGACTAAACTCACTGTTCCCAAGGTTACGTGAGATAGCCAACTTGTGGTTTGGTAGGGCTGGTTTCTGGGGGTTAGGTGGGTTTATCTCGGAACTCGTGGAGTTTTGGGATTTGCGCCCATGAAGACATTTGTTCAGGACGCCGAGATACGTAATATATAAAGAATTTAGCCAATTTAACCGGGAGCCATTTCCCATAAGGTTTGTGCGGGCTCCTTTGAAAATAATTAAATATGGACGACTCAAGTTGGCGCTCAAGTAGGTTAATCACGCTAATTTTAGAAACATTTTAATCGAACATAAAACTTTTAGGACTTGTTTGTGAGTACATTAAATGTTGTTCGTATGCTTCATTTATATTATTGTTGCATCTACTTTTAATTTTCTTAAATTCTTAAAATTTATTTGGGAAATTATTGGTTGCGGCTTTTAATATTAATCGCACGAAACAATGTACAATTATTGTTCAGTAGATTGTAATTTGTAATTATCTACTTATATGTCCCATTATTGGATATTCTAAGAAAATTCCCATTATGAAGCAATTATTGAAAACATAACGAGATAGTATTAGAATCTGGATAGCACAGGTAAAAGTTTGCTGGATGTACATACCTTTTTTTACTATTGAATCCATACTTTCACGTTTTCGTATTAATCCTAACGGATAACTCATTAAAAAATCCTTGTTCCAGAGAATTCCCCAGCTATCTGGCAACGCTGGTTGCACCATTGCGCCGGTCTATGAAATATTCGATTTACAGGGTGTAATAGCGTAGCGCGCACGGTGTTTACCAAAGCCAGCTTGAGAAACGAGCCCGAGTTTCATTCGTTCATGTTCAGTAGTTCAGTCTCAGTCAGTTTGCAGCTGACTGTGGGGAGGAGAGGACGTATGACTACGACTTTTCCAAATCGAACGAGGTTAATTCTCCATGTATGTTAGCCTCAGTTGGAAAAGCCCCACGCTGTTTTCCTTCAGGAACGCAGAAACAGATCAGTCTTGACTCACACCCATGCGTTTCATCAGCTCTGAAATTGTCTACTTTCACCTCCCGTCATAATAATTGTGTCAATCCAGCGCGGGTTAATATGTGACAAAATAGCACCGCTTCAGTGATTGTTTTTATTTATATTTAACAACAGTGTTACCCTTAATAGGTAGTGGAGTGCCCAGAACCAGCCCAGTGGGGTGGGTTAGTGTCATCTTTATTAGCAAAACAGTAATCGATAGACGCTGCGCGGTTGCCACATTCAGTAGACCGACCTGACATTACATTGTTTTCAAGCAACATCGCATCGCACAGCTGACTGGGACGACGTACAACTGGATTTCTGTGTAAGTAGCAAAGGCATAGTATGAGTGTTTGTGTGGACACACGACGCGATTATTTCGCTAATATAGACCGAGCTCATTCAATTTTGGTTTCGTTTTCGTTTGAATATCGCCAGGAATGGGCGGAGTGGGCGTGTTTCTACGTGGTAGTAGTGAATGGAAGGCTACACATAATTTTAGAAACGAGAAACAACGAAAAACAAACGAAAACTTTTGTTTATTCGACAGGATAGATTTAGAATGTTTGCTAAGATTAAGCGACTACCTACTTTTGCAAAATAAAACAATTCTGATGTTATCAAATTTTGTGGAGTATCTACTATCAATATCCTGAAATTTAAAAAATGATCATAGGCATATATTGAACATAAATCCTATTTTTAGTTATTTAGTTTAAAATGATCTCTTTTACATTCTATGTATATTAAACAAATTGATATTAGCGTGATGAAAAATTTTTCGTGATAAACTTTGGTCCCGATAGAGAATCGATGTGAAAACTTCCCTAAACAACATTCGTAACTGACTAAAGTTTGTTTTCTAATTGTTGTATTTCTGGTTTCCAGAAATAAAATTAATAATCGAAAATTATTTAGCACCACCTTAATAGTTCAGCTATAGACATTAAATTATAGATAGTAGTAGTAGTCCATTTATGTTTAAAGCAATGCAAAATAAAAATCAAAACAATTACCTTCAATTCCTACCTAATTTAAATAAACATTCGTGGTTTACTCTAAACAATGAGAAGCTAATGAACTATACTCGTTTGTTTCAGTAGCCTACTTTGTTATTAAATCGTAAAATCTAAAAATTCAACTGTCTACTACGCAGAAGGATGTCTCGAAATAGATACGGATGTCTGTAGCGCTCGTGGATGGTTGTATTGTCTAAAAAGAGGAGTAAAATAGTCCTTAATACCAATGTTCGTCAATTACCTATTTCTAATACAATGGAGTGTTTGCATAAAAAATGTCTAGTGTTTTGTCACTGAACACTATTTAAAAGTTTCGCTAATATCTTATTTGACTTTAAAAATTCTTATTTGAATCGTTTGCCATTGTTATAGGCTTGTGACGTCCCAGACAATACACATGCTACTACAGAAAATTTCTTATTTGTTTAACTTCTCTCTATCTCTGTATTTTTAAATAAAGGCATAGCTGTCCGCCAAATTCGTTTTATTTTTACATTTTAAATAACGATTTCTTGTAAAAATAAAAAAATACGGGTCAAGTCTTTTGCCCAGTCTTTTGCATTATTATTTTATTTTATGGCAATATCCGAGAAGGTGGCAAACATCCCATGCAAGGTAATTTTAAGTACCCAACACTTAAAAAATATGTAAATGTGTATTCTGAAAAATGTATTTAAAAATAGTGCGTTATCATCGGTAATAATAATTCATTCCGCTTTATTGTGGGATATGACCACACAAAACACATTTCAAGGTCGACATAATATTGATACGTTCCTAGAAAGACTGCATGGCGACAACCTATTATACATTATTCATCATAGGTACAGACCATAAAGTTAAAATATTCCGAAATAAGTACCTACCAATCTAATAACTGCACATGTACATGATAACTAATATGTAACTTTCTTACTATGTGATACTGTATCAAAAATTATTATGCATCATTATTTGAAAATATTCTAGAAAATATTACATTAAGTAGATGTAAAGAAAATTCAACAAGCTGTCAACAACGTGAAGTGTGAGATCTATGGCATAAAGAATTTAATAAAGGTTGTAAATCAGTTGATCTCATATCCACAGTAAGTTCAAAGGAATTGTGAAAAAAATCGGAGTATCAACTGAATCAGCTTATTGACATGATTATAATCCTAGGCTAATGCCATAAAAATTATCGCAGGGCTGCAAAATTTTATTGAAAGGGATCTTCCAATAGACTGCATCCAAGTGCATGTAGAGTATTTAAAATCGTAAGAAGATTTACACGTGGACAACTAACTCATAGATGGAGAGACGAAGGAAAAAGAAGAAGGTAATGAAAAAGATCCTCGATTTTGGCTGTGGAGATTCAAAATTCCCATGTTAACCCTCATGAAATTGAACAATATTTCCAAAATTTACCGCAGATTAATTTTTAAAAACTGCTCACTGCTATCCAGATATTACGTTGAATCAACAGCTTTCTGAATACGACAGAACACACCGGATATAGTTTTGTGAATGGACTAGAACAGCAGTAAATCATCAGTCCCAGTTTTTTCGTTATGTATGTACTTTTTAGCAATGAGACGACATTTCAGAATACAGAAATGGCGAATCAACATAACAGTCACTACAGGTCTTCTGAAAATCCACACTGGTATCGAGAAATCAATTACTATCATCAGTGGAATTTAAATGTCTGGTGTGGTATTCTCAATGGAAATTCGATTGGATCACATTTGTTTGGCGGACCACTCAAAGGACAAATCTATTTGGATTTCTTACAAAACCACTTAATTTTCTGGATGATATTGATACCAGAATTAGGTTAATAATGTGGTATCAACAAGATGGTTTTACTCCTCATTTCGCCTGAATTTCTTGAATGAAGTATTTCTACATCGTTGGCGGTCCCATTTCAGGGCCAATAAGATCTTCTGATCTCATCCCACTGGACTTCTTTCTTTGGGTATATCTTAAAAGTGTGGTTTATCGAAAGCCACCTACAACACAAGATGATATGAGACATGGTATCAGAAACGCTTGTACTAACATACCACTGCAAACCTTACAAACCATCTAGAACATGCCTTCAAACTTGCATTGAAGACGATGATACGACATTCGAATACTTTATGTAATTAAATAAAAATGTAAAATGAGCTACACATTATAAAAGTTAGGAAAAACGGTTTTTTTAAATAAATCAATTACTGCAAATTTTTGAAGAAATGTCCTTGAATGATTTCTAGGAAAATAATATAACAATATTTATTCACTTGATGAATGCCACGACTTTTATTTAAAATATTTTTTATGCAGCGAATAGTTTTTTAGATATTAAGTATGTGTTTTATTCTCGGTTTTACTCGTAATCCGTAGAAGAATCAAAGTTTCACAATAGACAAAAATTCGTTCTAAAATATAAATAAATACCAAATAATAGCAAAGACGTGTTCCAACTGTAGATAAAACAGTTTTAGATTGATGTGAAAGAACGTTGTAGTAAATTCATAGGGCTAGGTCTCAGTAGGTGTTGACTTTTGGGTATAAACAAGTTTCCTTTAAATTATCTTCCTCTGAATCTAGGAGTCTTTGGTTGACTGGTTTCCAATCTTTCTAGGACACCCTGTATGTACAATAAAAACAAAACGAGAAGAAATAATAACAAATTCATTTATTCATACAATTTGTTGATATACGAAAATGGCACTTTCACTGTTCCAAAAACAAAAATATGTCTTAAATTTGCCTTTACTAAAATTAAAAATTTCAGTTTAATTTTTTTTGTCGTTAATACTTATGTTAAGAAGATCTGGAGACATTTTGTACATAGTAAAATTTGGAAAAGTATAATTATATGCTTTCTAATTGGCATGGTGTATTAATTAGTTTTAAGGATAAAATCAAAATGTAGTATAGATATACTATATTTTTAATCATTATTTTTTGTAGAGGACACCCTGGCCAAATTAACATTCGAACACAATCAGAATAACTTTTTTCCATAAAATGAATAAAAAAAGTTTCTCCTCTTCTCAACTCCATCCGTGTGGACTCACTGTACTTTCATAGGAAAATAACCATTTTGCAGGGACATGTACTTCTCGGGTATTGTTTTACGCAATTGAAGTTACCGATTCAAAGCGGCGATAATTATTATTGACCGTTCTCTGAAAATAATCACTACCAGTTGTTACGTGGATGGAAAGGCAACTGCTCTGAACAGTTATTTAATAGCTGGTCGTTTCTAAAAGTTGTCGTGACAGCGGTTGAAGGCAAACACCCAGCAACAACAAAAGATTAAGAATTTCTTAAACTAAATGTTGCAAAATTATAAATAGTACGTATATGATTATGTAAGCGTTAGACGTTGTGGAAGGCATTAAAACAGATACGTACTAAAGTGTCAAACTATATATTTTACTATCAACTAAAATGTTTTCACTCTGTAATGAACCATTTATTTTACTGTCATTAAGAAAATGAAAGAAGCCGTCCAAAAAGCGCGGCAATGCCAAAACAAAGAGTCGTTACCCTCGCGCAGACAAAAATAAACTAAAATTCCACTAAGAAAATTACCCGTGCCCAAAGCGGACTTGCATTCTCGTTCTTTTTGTAAACTTCGTACTACGTTTGAGGAGTGAGTAATTATAGAGTTCGAAGTTATATATAGACTGACCCCACGATTTAATACAAACAAAAGTATTATCAAAATATCCAGTCTGCTAATAATAGGCCGAGGAGAATGTCTTATTTTCTAGATAAAGTATATATAACAGCCATAACGAATTTAATAATAATAATAATAAAACTTGTAAATTGAATTTGTTTCATTCTCCAAAATCCAAGCTGTTCTCAATAAAGTAGAGAAGTAAAAATAACGAATTTCGATGAATTTTCCATTGTTCCAATATTTTGTTTGTGTCGAATGGGTGAGTTAGTCCGAATGACTGTACAAATTATAGATGATCTAGCATCTAAGTTTTTAATGAGCATATCTGACTCGCAAACCAAGAAACTAAGACCATTTGCAGCTAATGAAATAAAATATGTATTTGAATATTTGTCGCCAGTATGTTTCGTTAAGATCAGAACACATGAACACTATCCGATTTTGCGCGAGAATTCAAGTTTACTCAATGAAATATATGACGAATAAAAGCTTTACGCTGCTGAAGAATTCATTGAAGAATCTCTTGACTTGACAACCAAGTGAAGGAGTTAAAGTTTCTCATTACAAAATGTCAGCAAAATAATCATACCAGTTCACACCTTCAATACGTAACTGCAAATATAAAATACAGTACGCGCCTAA